GGAAAAACATAATGAAACAATTATTTGAAAACTGGGATAACCACTGACTAAATTTAGTAGGAGTTACCGCATCTAAACAAGATCCAGTCACTGTAACATGTTTTGGAATAACTGAAAACATATATCTCTTTTTCTCACGTTCAACATTACGATGGGAATTAAAAAAAGGCTTAAAGAATTAAAGAAAACCGTTAAACATGAATCTGAAACAAGATGGAGTGCCAGAACACAAACGGTTAGTGTTACTGTCGATGGGCTGAATGAATTAATAGAGCTATTAGAAAAATTAGTACAGGATAGCTCTACCATAAATGACACCAGAAGTGAAGCTAACATTTTATTGCAAAATACATTGAATTTTAATTTCATAACTTAAGTCCATTTCTGGCATAAACTCTTGAAGAGAATTTATCATGTGCAGCTCAGATTACAAGATCCTAAAATGAATTTTAGAGAAGCATTCTGTGATCTTGAATCATTAGCGCTTGACTTGCAGAAATTCGATACGAGATTCGTGAAGAGGTAATAGAAAACGCGTTCCTGATTGTCTGCAGCAGGAAATACGACTAAGCGATCTTTATTTAAAATTTGGATATTTATTGGACGTTCAAAATTGATTAAACAGAGATAATATTGATAACGATCTTGAAGAAAATTATAAAATTTGGGCCTTATTTTATAATACAAATTTTAATGGAACAGAAGTCTATGTCGAAAAATGTGACTGCAAAATGTTGCACTGCAGTAGAAAAGAAGCTGAACCTAAAACTCCATTAGAGCTTCTTACGTTCATAATCTCGTAAGGAGAAAATGTTTTTCCAAATCTGACAGTCACACTTCAAATATTCCTGACTATTTCAGTGTCAAATGCTAGCTGTTCAGCAAATTAAAATGAATTTTGGCATATCTGCGATGAACGATGGGACAAGATCGCCTAAGAGACTTAGCAGTTTTAAATGCGGAAAGAGAAAAATTTGAAATGATCGACTTCGATGATTATAAAATCTGAAATGATCGATGAAGAAACATAAATTTGCTTCAAAATGCTAAGGCAAAAAAAATTGTAATAGTAATAAATTGTATTAATGTATTAGAGTATTATATTATTATTAACAAATATATCTACTTATATATAATCTATATTAACTTTTTTCATTGTTTAAAAAGTGCATGTTCTTAAAACAATTATATAAATATGTAAAATAAATAATATATTTTAAATTCTAAATGAGCGTATATCTGATTTTTCCACTGACACAGACAAATTTCAGAATGAATTTTAGTCTTGATTTTTTTTTAACTAGATTTTTTTTCTCTGAAATTTAAAGCCTAATATGAGCCTGTCATCCCGATAAACTATGTAGTTAAGTAGTGACTATTCTTATATAATAAGGCATATATTGAATTTTATTATTATTTGTATTATATTCTTATTACGAGTGTATTCTATATATTATATAACTATATGTTTTTCGGGGGAAGGGCGCCAAAACGTATCGTACCGCGGGCGCTAGTTATGTTCGCTACGCCGCTGAAGGAGGTATATTGTTTTCAATTATGATGCAAAAACATGTCATCCTGGCAAACTGATGTCTAAATAACTAACCGTACTTCGGAAACTGATGGAGAAGGTAGAAAAAAGTGTAGGTACAGCAATTATCATCCATGAAATTTGGCAAGTGTTGCCGTTGCATAAAATAAAGGACCGTATATCCACTTATCTTCAATGCGTCTCGTACATAGCAAGTTCTTAGAATACAGCCATTTGGCAAAGTACCAGATATTTACATTGGTGTGCAAAACTTAAGCAACAATGCAAATTTTAATCAGATAACCATGCAGTTTCAGAAAAGGGGTTCTTGCTATCCGTACAGTGAACACGAAATTCATTAGAAAGGTCATGCATATGCAAATGTTCGGAAAAAAAAACATCACAGGCTACATGATCGTACGCAAAACGCGTACGCTCTGCTCGAGACTACCATAAAAGGAAGGACGAAGACGCAATTAAAGACATTCGTTGCAAGTACAAATGAAATCTTTCGTGAAATATGGCTAGAAGAAATCATCTGGATGAATTCACGAGTGGAAGAAGGATAGGAAAGCTGGAGGAGGGGCATAGTGTGACCAGTGTGGCTGAAGATTTCGAAGTCAACAAAAGTGTCGTTTTGCGGGCTTGGAAAGCCTTCCAAACCATAGGTACAGCTATTAGAAAGGTTGGTGGTGGCCGCTCCAGGACAAAAACTGCAGCAGATAACCGATATATCGTCCTACAGGCGAAAAGAGCCCAAAACCAGTCAGCAAGTTCCACAAGCTCAGCAAACTGTGTACAGCAACCAGGCGACAATTGTTCGTGGTTTACTGTGTGCAGACACCTTCACAAAGATGCCCTATTCGCCCGCCGTCCTGAACGCTGCATCCCTTTGAAAGTTGGCCATCGGCGCTACCGTTTAGAGTGGTGCAAGGAGCGCAAACACTAGGCATCTCATCATTGGAGTCGTGTCCTCCTTACAGATGAGAGTCGTTTTAGTGCCCCAAGCGATTCTCAACGCCAACTTATTTGGAGAGAGGTAAGGACACTGTTTAATCTCAGTAACATCACGGGAAAATCATAAATTACCATTATGGTGTCCTGGAGATCTCGTCTGGGTAGGCATTATGCTGAACGGACGGACAGAGCTCCACGTTTTTTCGACAGAAATTCTGTAACCGGAGAGAGATCGCTATTGTCAGGAGGTGATCCTTCCCTATGTGCGTGTGTTCCGAGGTGCAATTGGACTAGACTTCGTTTTTATGGACGACAATGCACGGCGATATCGACACTGCTGTTCAGAAGCTACTGAAAAGTGAAGATATCACTCGAATGGATTGGCCAGAGTACTCCGCTGATTTAAATCCCATAGAACATGTATGGGATGCTTTGGGGAGACGCTTTGAGGCACGATTACATCCTCCGGCGAACACCCAACAACTGAAACAGATGCTGATTGAGGAATGGACACTCTCACCTCAAGATCTGTTGGACAATCTGGTGCAGAGTGTGGGAAGACGGTGAGAAGCAACCATTTCAGTAAGGGAAGGGCATATCCCATACTAAGGAACATCTGCTTGTTGTTCTTCCTCTTATACAGAAAATCATGTGTAACGATACTATGAGTTCAATAAAGCCTGTTTTTGTTTAATTCCATACTGTACGCATTGTATTCATTTTTAGCGCAATTATGCTTTCGTCATCGTTTAAATACAAAATGCTGTCTCTTATTTCTGAATTTCATGTCTCTCAGATGACCTCTCGTGGATTTATGTCAAAAAGAACACCTGTTGCTTAAGTTTTGCACACCAGTGTAAATTATCTTTAAAATTAAATAATTCTACTCTTGATTAGTAAACGGCGGAATTTAAAATCAACACAAGCCCTTTTTAATGATTTAAATATTTATTAAAAAACTTTTTTTCATATAATGTGTCTAATAGAATTTAAAATTAATGTAAAGTATAATATTATATAATATAATTTTTATAAGCATTTTCAGGTTTATCGTAATTGATAAAAGTTGTTTCTAATGCCACGTATAATGGTATTGGTAAGGAATCTTGTTATATTACACATCTTTTTCATTTTAATATTTTTACATTTGAATTTTTAAACATTTTTTCAATTAGAACATTTTTGATTGTCAACTGTTATCTGAAATTTTCACGGGTTCTGATTTATCCACCACCCTTTTTGTGTGTCAGTTATGTTGATACCTGGCTTTTATTTTCGCAATTTTCGATCACAGACATACATTTATAATTATAAAATATGTTTCAAATGACGCAAATATTCATGTTTGTTTCATTTTTTAGTTGAAAAAATCAGCTTTGTAAAAACCGTGAAATTGAATTTTTTATATGTTCCTCATATTGCCATACTTATGTTTGAAAAATAAAACAAAAACTGTTTGACTCCTGTGTGGCAAAAAGTGGCTGAGATAATTGACCGCGTGAATTTGAAAGTTCAAAATCATATTCAGGGGCCATATACAAGTTGAAGAGTAGCATGTTTGCATACTTAACTAAAACTGAAATATCATTTAGAAAAGTTTCTGAGTTTGATAGATTAAATGAGAAGCATTTCTATGCAGCATGTTGTGAAAATTGTTGATCAATATACATGTTTTATAAAATAGAACTCATTTACAAATTTTATAGAATTCGTGTTCTGAAAAATACTGGCAGACTTCTACTCAGTATCGGTAAATAGCCAAATCGTAATATTATTTGCAGGAATTAAAAACTAAAAATATTTCTAGTTTAATGAATTTTTTGTATGTTTGTTGGATAATGTTTCTAAATTAATAAGATTTCAAGAATATGAATAACGTATTTTTACCTTTTGAAAATTTATAAATTATTTGTATGAAAATTCTATCGGTATGTCATTTGTAACAAAATTATAAATTAAAGAATATTGCAGATTAATAAATCACAAACAAATGTCACTGAATGACATTAACATCAAATTCAAATTATTCTAATTTATTTATTAACCGAGCCTTCAATGCAAGTTGAAAATAATGTCAAAAATTACAAATTTTGAAGTTAAACATCTCGGTCAATTTTTGTCGTAAGGGAGTTGAACATTTTGCGTTATAGTTCTTACAACGAATGCAAAAATTTGCTAAATATAAGTACCGGATAAAGGCAGAAAATTTTAGATTTTGTAATTTTTACAAAACTGATTCCTTTAAATCTGAAAATTCCGAAACATGAATATTTGCATCATTTAAAATATTTTTTTAAGTGGAAAGATGTACATACAATCAGTGGATGAGGAAATAAATGGTGGTTTAAGACTTCTGTGGATTCGCTTATTTCTATTAGTTTGATTCATGATCATTACTCATAACTGATTGTGAAAAGCTGAAATTATACGTAAATTGAAATTATGTGTTGTTTTTGAATATTTGAATACATATTGCTGCTAATTTTAATGCTTTATTTTTATAATTTTTCAGCTGCCGACGAGCCTCACGATTAGTAAGTACATTGTTTCTGAAATTACTTACATTGAAGTTACATCTGAAATTAGTCATATTTATATTGTCTAGTTTTGCTTCTTTGCATGGAATATTGGTTTATTAACATTTCAGATTATGTGTAGTTTTTGCAGTTATCTTATACTTCAGGTTCTTGGAATTAAATCTTAATGCGTAATATTCGAATTATTAAAGTTATTAAACTAAAGGTAATCGAACTTTTTTCGAAACTATTTCTTAAATACTAGTTGAAATCTTTTCATGTAATTAAGAAACGGTTTCATCAAGAACTTTAGAAGTAAATTTTAAGTTTAAAAATTCTTAAAAAATTCATGTTAAACATACTTCACACATTGAAAGAACTTTCCCCTTTATTAGAATAGTCACTAATAGTGTAAAATTAGAAAAAAAATTAGACTTTGAATTTTTTGTCTAATTTTCAACAGTAATTATTTAAAAATTATTTTGCTTTTTAAATAATTTTTACAAATCTGCAATCGATTTTGACACATAAAATCTTCACATGTTTTTGTATTTAACCCACAAAATTTCAGCTATTATGTGGTAGGTACTTATTTGTAATAATGGAAGTGTTTTAATTCAGTTTTTAACAGTCTCTGAACACATTCTACATTTCGTGAATATTGAAAATATTCATTAGCATCACAGCAAGGAAAAAATTATCCATCCAAGCTGTCGTAAAAAAATCTTGTCAAAAAGACTACACATTTAGGTTTGCAGTTTTGTGGCTATTCATGGTGGTTGCTATATTTGCTGTCGTTATGTTTCATTTATAAAACAGTGAAGATAACAATAATAGCTCTTCCTTTAGGATAAGTGAAAAGCAGTTTTTATTTTCTTTACTATTTCGAGATCTAGCGAAAATGCTGACTAAATATTGGTGCAGGTGTTGACAGTTTGGTATAGCTTGTCTTAGAATGCTAAACTGAATTAATACCTTTACAGTAAATATATCCAAAGCTTTTGAGCCGAAAGAATAGGAGCAATTATTGAGAATTGTATACAACATTTTTCAAAATGTACGAATGGCTTCATAACAAATATGCTATAGGATGGTTTTTTGCAATATAATTTAGCAGCATACTGCGCATTTTTAAATTAAAAATTTTTGCTATGCAACTACAGGAAAAGGCTGCTATGATCTTTGACAGATCTTTGCCATGATCTTTGACAGATCTTTGCCATGATCTTTGACATGATTTAGTTAAAGCTAATATTAACATTCTAATAACTGCCAATATTCACGTTACCATAATGATGACATTTATATGTGCATAACATGAAATTTGTTTTAACGTTGTTCTTGCCTCTTGCTAAAAGTTCAGATAAAAGATTCTAATTTAGGAAAAGTAGCATTTTTAAAACTTTCGCTGTTTGAACAATATACGGCTTTTAATAGTTCAATTATTAAAAGTCGTATATTGTTTAAACAGTTAATTATACAGTTATTCCAATATTTTGAAATGATAAGAATTCTGGAAGTACATTTTAATTTTTAGATAACTGTAACTGTGTAATTAATATATAATCAAACTATAATTTTTTAAAATAACTGTATAATTAATATATAGTATACATAAAACCAAAGTATAATTCTAAATTAATAAAAGTGCCAGACTTACTAACAGGAATAAAATTTAATATAAATCAAAACTGAAACAAAAACAAAGAATAAAATAAGAAATAGTTGAAAACCTTTTGGTCTTTTTCAGAGATCAGCCAAAAACGTTTTCACACAGCCACGTTATATGTATGCATATATGTATACTATGTATGTACTATATATATAAAAATTTTTAATTAATCATCAAGATATAATATATATATATATATTATATCTTGATGATTAATTAAAAATGTTTTTAATTTAAGCCATTTGTATTGGGATTTTTTAATGAACTTGCAATTATTATTTTAAATTATTGCAATTATTAGTTTCTTTACCACTAACATTTCGATTTCTTTCATGAATTTGTTTTGATAATCATCCGGATGTAATTCAGAAACGTGATTCTCTTGAAAATATTTTGGCTGCTTCTTTAAAGAGACCAAAACATTTTCCACTTTTTATTTATTCTTTTGTTTCACTTTTGATTTAAATCAAATTTTATTTTGGTTAGTAAGTCTGCATCTATTATTGATTTAATTATTTTAATTATCGCTTGATTAGTTAGTTAATTTTGCAGTATACTATTCGACTTTAATAATTAATTATTTAAATTTTGCAATTTCTGAACCTTAAAATTTTATATATATATGTCTGTGTATAAGCTAAAAAATATGTAAATCAGAATTATAATTTAAATTAGCAAAAATTTCTTAATTCCTCATTTTTCATTTGATTATTTCCTCTGGGTATTCTAGAAATAGTGGTAACTTTTTCTGGACTGCGTCATTTCTAGATTATTGCATGTCATATGACTTGAATAACGCTGATGACGTAGCTATTTCGGAACTCGAACTCAAAATTTCGTGAACCGAAACTTTCTTTTGATGAGCTTCTCTACTGAATAACTGCGCACTTTGTCTCTAACTCTGTGAGTATTTAATCTGCCTTGGCTGTTAAATTTACTCTTCATTATGGATTTAATTATAGTCGAATTAGCAAACGAATAAGCAGCTTTAGGTGTATGATTATGCCAGGAGTATCTAATTTCTTAGCGCTTTATATGAAAGCAAAGAAAATCATGTAAAATATTTCAAAGTGCTTTGTAATGCTTTAGTTGACGTTTCTTATATCAATCTGCTTAAGCAATTTATCTACTAACGAATCAGTGTAAATGGAAGTATTGGTACATTTCCCTTTTTAAAGGTATAATCTGCATACATCTTTCGCCACGTGAAAAGTGAGGAAATAATAATACAGCGCTTTCCAATCTTTCTTGCCGCTCTCTATCTTTAGTTCTTCATTTCCTTCATCTCTGTTTTCTCTCTTTCATTTCTGCAAGATCACTCACCATGTGCCAGAGAAGAAACTTAAAAACAAAAAGAGAAAAGCTCCTCACTCAGGCTACTAACAATACGATCGTCTGCTCTAATAAGTTTCTTGGCAACACAACAGAACTTTTGGCTTACCTAGAATATCTAAGTCAGATAAATTGGGGGAGTGAAAGGGGGGCAAGATAGAAGTTCAGTGTATGGAAGGTGGTTTGCCGGAATGTAAGTTGATGCCTCACACTATCGTGTGTGCTGCTTCTCTTGAATGCAGTCTAATAATAGAATTCAGGCATTGGCTATGAGCGGCGTAAGCTGAGGTGTATTTCAGGGAGATGGAAAAAAAGATGATTTTTATCCCTCATACATGTTTATTTACTTGCCATCTTATTCTTTCTTTCCTTTTCTTCTGCTACATATTTCTTGTGTCTTTAGCTTGAGCTCTAAACTTCATTTAGTCTGATTTGAAGATTGCCTCGCCTTTGCTGAATAAGTTTTATGGTTTTATTTATAAATCATGTTCAGTTTCGCAAAAGAATATTGGTTTGATAACTGTTATTTTTAAAAATGTAGAGATGCTGTAGAATTAATTTTTTGAAGAAGGGGGTTAAGAATTCTAGAATAAAATCTTCATATTATGTAGCTGACTAATAAAGAAATTATTTTCCGTTTTCATTAGCCAGAAAGGGCTACTATTCGTCGTATCACTTTTGATGTTCGTATCACTTTTCAAATAAACAGATGCCACGACGTCGGTTAACTCTAGAACCGAATTCTAGGAAAAATGGTGCTCCGAATCAGTCGTATTGTTCAAGGTTGCCAGAGTTTAATTGAAGCGCTTTTTAGAATGCCATGTGATTGGAAGTTTCGTAACTCTTAAAGCAAAGAATGAAAATTTAAATTTTCCGTTATATGGGACAATAAAATAGTTAAAAAAGAATAAATAACAGGAGAGAGGAACAAGAATAGATTGGTTAACATTGACGTTAGCAAAATCATATAAAACTGAAAAAAGAAAAATTTGGGCGACTTTAAAATCTAAACCTGTTTAGATTTTTAAAACATTTGTTTATTCATTCGTTTTAAATCTCCGGGAATTTACATACTTGTTGGTGTTTCAGTTAGGTTGTAAAATTCCAGATTTTTCTAATTCTAGTTGTGGTTTACTGACATGGTGCTGGGAAACATCCGAAGTTTCTAGAGAAATTTTATCAGCTATTAAACTTTGCGCTGTAGAATAAAAGTAAAAACAGTTTCTGTGATTCTGCTGCTTGTAGAATTGTAAGCTGAACCACAGCTTAACGTCTAATGGAACTTGCACGACTAACTGAGGATTTCAGGGCAAATAAAATTGTTTAAAAATTAGAAGCGCTTAACTCAAATAGTTCAGGTAAAAGGATAATCCATCGATAAATATTATTTTATCAGTTGAGATCCTTTTAAAATAATAATTTAAATATTATGTTATCAGTTGAGATCCTTTTAAAATAATAATTTAAACGGACTTACCTACAGCACATAATGACTATACAATCCATTTTAGTATAATATAGTGTACAACTGGGAACATAACATTATCGCCAAGAGACTAACTCGGAAGAATATCTAGTACTTTAGCTATTCTATACGTATTTTATTTCGATTATCTAGAAAATGTTAACTGTTTTTTATATGTATTCCTAAATTCTTAAATAATTTGCTTATTCTAAATTAGAATGTTTATTTGAAATTGAGAACCAAATGAAGAAGGATAATAAACGATCTTATCAACTAATTAAAATCTTACAATTGGAATAGTACCATGTGTTAGATTAATTCCATGGTGGTGTTGTAGTACCATTATGTGAATTTCTTTAATTTTCTCAAGGATTATTTCAGATTCCTATTACGTCATTCTCAAATCAGGAAAAAAATTTTGTAAGGGTTTATGTTAATTAACCATTTATTACAATCTGAAAATTTACTACGTTTTTCTCTAGTCCTCACCAGAATGGAAATTAGTTGCTGAGTATTTAAGCCGAGGATTTGAATACGTTACAGATTTTG